GTAGTTATTACTGTTAATAATTTTATAATACACAGCGAACACCTGGCTTTACACTGGTCTTCTCAGTCATTCTAAATAAAACTGTTTCTTATTTATGTTGAACTGAAACTAGTAAATGATACTGACATTCAAGAACATATAGAAAATATATTGAGATTCATCCAAAGCATTTTAATTTCATTTTTTAAGCTGAAAAGTGTCCCTAGAGTGGTCTGCAGAGATAAAAAATGAGAAAGTCATTGTTCACAAGTCTACAATCTAAAAATCACAACAAAAAAGGGAAAGGAAGGGGAAGGTTTTTGCTAACATAATTGAGCATGCTTCTGGCCATGGAGCTGAATTTAAGTAAAATAGCAGGAATGCTGCTTTTGGTAGTCTTATCTTGCAGCTTCTTCCTCTAATAGACTAAACAGGGGCAGTGGTAGCTAGAGGAATCAAGCTGTAAGCTGAAGGGACAGTATTTTATCTTGTCTAAGTTTGGTTTCTTCAACTGTTTGTATTTTACTACACTGATTTTTAGAGTGAGTTTCGACAAATGCAATATTAGGAGCACCTTATATTTTTATGGCTTATATGTTGAGGGAAAAGATAGAAGGTATTTGCATTCTATATCTATTAGAAGATACTTGATTTCATAATTGGACATTAGAGATCAGAATTTGAAAGCAAAGTACTACATACCCAGTTCCACCTTGGAGAAATGAAGAAAAAGTAATGGATACAGCTGGTTAGAAGTGCCTCCATTGTCTAGCCATCTTGGTATAGAATAGAATATATGATACTTTCTTTCTTCTATTTGTTTTATCCATTTACTTCTGAAATACTTCCAGTAAAAAAATCTTAAAATACAATATACTTTTTTATCAAACAGTGTGATCTGTACCGACATAATTAGAAGAAGAATTATCTGGATATTATTAAGATAGTAGATCTTAATGTACTTTTTCAGTTGAAGAAATCTTAAAGAATTTAATTCGTAGTTTTAAAGGTTGTTCTCATCCTTTGAGCATTAAGGAATAATTTAAATTTTTAGCAAAGGCCATCATAATGTTCTCATGTTCCTGGAAATTACAAGCCAGATTCGTTAAATGTATTTTAATTCAGTATAATTATTTTATGGGAGACACTCAGAAATATGTTTACTGATAGGGACCTTTTTTAAAATCCAGAACTTATACTCTAATATGTGAAATGCAATCCAGAGAACTGCTCTCTGACATGAAATGTATCCAGAGAAGGATCTACCAAGGATGTATTGTGGCAAAATCAAAAATACCAGCTTTTGTTTAAAAAGCTCAGACATCATAGTTGGATTATAGGAAGGAGTAGGCTATAACTTATCTTTTGGGGTGGCATTAAAACTCTTTGAGGGTAAAATACTGGCCCCTATAAGGTGCACTAGTGGAAATCTGTGCTGGGAAAGATTCAATACAGCCAGTGTAAACAAAATTGTTGAGGTCCATACTTGCTTCCCCTAGGAAACAAATGCCCTGCTCAGCTTGGAGATAGGGATGTCTAAAATTGAAATATTGGCTCAGACCGATTATTAGCTATTGGATAATGATCCATTTTTTTGGTGACAGATTTACTGCTTATTTGTCGACAGTTCTTCAAACTGGGAAGTTATAGTAGAACAAATAAATGGCATCATATGGGTTATCAGCAGATTTTTAAATATCTTTGGGATATGTACAGGCCAAACAATTATTCTCTTAAAGATTAAATGATATAGAGCATCAGACTGAAGCAGGGCAAAAGAACTTGGATTCTAAAGAGCACTTAGGAACCTGCAAAATATTTAAATATTCTTACCTTTTCCAGGCTGAGAAAAGTATTTTTCAGGGTCAGGCACAACATGCTTCCCTCTACACATTTGTAAAACCTCATTAATTGAACACACCTGCCTATATGGATACAGAGAGATAAAAACAGTAACAATATGTGCTACTGAACTGTAAGTTCTAGAGGGATATTTGGAATATCTTACTCTTGCTATGTCAATTCCTTGGAAGAACAGGTATTTTTATATGACTTTCCTCTCAGATATGAAATTATCACCTGTATGGTAGCTAAATTTTGTGTTGCTGCAATGAAAATGAGGCAACAGTTGATGCAAGTCTGAATGTTGATGTTTTTTCCAGTTTTACTTATGTTTTTACATAATTTATTGATTCTTGCTTGAAATAAAATTGATTGATACAGATATCAATCTTGTAATTTTAAAGAGTGTTTGAATGTTTAGACATTAGGGAATATATTAAATCATTAGCAAAGAGCATCAGGTTGTTTTCTCATGTTCCTGGAAACACTAAGCTAGATTCTTTAAATTTCTTTAAATTTAAAACAATCAAGATTTGATTTGGATTACTGTTTATTGCTCTTTAAAGCTATGTTTATTATATTTCTTCTATTATTTAATCTCCAAGATATCCTCATAGATAAAATTTGCAATATAAGTGACTTCTATAAAAAATACACCTTAGCTTTTAGTTAAGCGCTCAGCATCATCTTAAAACCAATATCCTCCTGTGTAAAAGCATTCTAAAGTGATGTCCTTTTTTTTTTTTGCAAGTATTATGAGATAATTTTAGAACATCCTAAAGGTACAAATTCATTAGGTATCCTAAATATTTAAATACCATGGCCTCCTTTAGACACTCGGTTTGTTCAGTTTGAAATGCACTTTATGTCCACATTTTCTTTCCTCCTGCCACATACTGTACATATTCAACTTTATACAAGAAGTCTTGATTTTGGGAAACTCTATTCGAGTCTGTCTTATAAAACATGGTCATCAGAATTGATTGGGCCAATTATAGGAAATACATATCTCCCTGGTTAGAACAATTCTACTGTGTACTAATTTAGTTTGAAACAGAGTTCAAAATTGTGAGAACATGAGGAAGGGCTGTTGCTGTGGCTGTTCCCAAGCTTTGACACTTTCAGTTAAGGAAAGTCAGGTTCCTTTTATGTCATCCTTCTGCTAGCAGATAAAATTTTATTTATGCAGATATAACTTGGTTTCTTGCTTAGTTGACTTAATGCATTTTAATGACTTTTAAAAAATATATTAAAATTAATTTTACTCTTAATATTGATGTCACTTTCAATGGTAACTTGGTCATCCTGCTGGAGGACTTTTACAGGAAGGAGGAGGGGAGAATAAGCTCTATGCATTATCAACAGTCTTTAATATTAGGCATGGGGTTTTTATTAGCTGGCAAGGCTGAAAATTGCAAATCCTAGGAGAGATACCACTGGATTGTTTCTAAAATATGGTATAAGAGTTTCTTTGCTGTCCAGTGGTATTGCTTTCTTTGTACTGCTGTGTTAGGTCATTTATAGATCTGGAATACAGTATGGTATCAGCAAAATAATTTTTCTTTTCACCAAATATTGCCAAAATGATGCATTGCTAAATATATGAAATATGTTTCACTAACTCAGGATGAGGTCATAGCTGTGTCTTAGCTTTCGTATTGAGATATTACTCTAATTTAGCTTTCATATTGAACTAATGCAGTCTGGGTTTGCTTGGGAATTGTATTTGGTGGTAAATGTAGCAAAGGGGGATTTGGAAGAGCTAGATTAATGTAATGCAGTTTACAAGTTTTGAAGTGGGTTTCATGGTTTCTAGGTTATTACTGGATACAGTTTGAAGTGCTGTTTTTAACTAAAGTTCTAAAAGCTTGAAGCAAGCATTCCTGATGGAACACCAATCTTACCTTGTCACCACTTGTAATGCAGTTTACAAGTTTTGAAGTGGGTTTCATGGTTTCTAGGTTATTACTGGTTACAGTTTGAAGTGCTGTTTTTAACTAAAGTTCTAAAAGCTTGAAGCAAGCATTCCTGATGGAACACCAATCTTACCTTGTCACCACTTGCCTTTGTATTACAATAAGCAGGATGGGTCCTTTTCTGGATATTCTCACCTTTAGAAATTAGGTGGATGCCTAGAAACAGGCTTTTCATTGTCAGCACCATTCACCATTATGGAGTGGTTGCCACAAGGCTATTCACCTAGTTCCCAACTGATTGATTGGTTACTAGCTAACACATTTTTATTTGCTTCAAATGACCAGTCATTTCATTATTTTATATTTTTAAAACAATGTTTTACATAATCTACTTTACA